AGTAGTGGTAAAGTAAGTCTCACATAAACTAGACTTAAATCAATTGAGAACCATATAAGTGTAAAAGATCTATAAATCTACAATCTTAAGATTTTCGGTTAAGATGTGGAGTCAACCCATTTATTGTGATTTCTCATTTGACTAATTAGTGAATAAATCTTTTACAAAGATTTTGGGCTCTCTTGTACCATTATCAACACACTGATGGATTACTTTTGTGTGAATATATACCAAATTTTTTAGATGTTTTGATTAATTTATTTTATGTTGAAACAAGTTTTAATAAAAAAATTCTTTATTTTCTTAAAAGTGATTGTGAAATAAATAATCAATTTATCTAATGCTATTAATTTAAGATTATATTGAGTTTGCACAATTAATTTAATGACGAATCAAAGTTAGAAAAATAATAACTCACCTTCTTACATTTATTCTACCAATGGAATACCTACGACACGAATACTGAAACTATGTTTCATGAAAAGCTAATCTCTAGACAAAAAGGATCAAATCACATTATGAATTATAAAATCAAAACCCCTGATTATCTCATTGATTTTATTTATCTTTCTTCAATAGCTTTTCCTGAAGTATTAGAATATTGATGTCATCTCGAGTAATTTCTTTTTACCACCTTATATTTGCTTTTATTTTTTAGTAATTTTTTTTTAAAAGTTAATATTTAAAATTGTCTCAATAAATTTACTATTGTTTCCTATAATGAAAAACTTCTCCTCAGACAAAAAAAGGATAAAAAAAATGCACGATAATTCCAAGTCTAATACCCTTAGTTCATATAGAATTAATTAAATTGTTTCATTTATCTTTCTATTCGAATTATGTTGTAAATAACATTACTAGGGAAAAGTGTTTGTCGTTTTAAATGACATAAAGTTATGTCATTTTAAGAGAGAGATAGACACAAAATAATTTTTTTATTTAAAATTTAAATTAAAAATAAATCATCCACTTTCTCTCACTCATGATTTTTATTTTTTGTGTTTATCTCTCTCCTATAATGATATAATTTATGTCATTTAAAATGACAAACAACACACGTTACTCTTATGTTTATCTCGGAGTTGGTGTAGCTAGAATAGGTTCATCAATCTTTTCTTCTCGCAGAAAATATTTTCCTTACTTTTTTGATAAAATTATGGGTTATTCACATTTTAGGTAGAATTGTTTATAGATTTGTATGTTGGCCTATGTATAGTGTATCTTTGACCCATGCGAAAACGATGATGAGATGAAGAAAGAACATAACACGAGCGAGATTATTGTGTAGTGGACCAACCCAAAAAAGCAATGATGGACCAAGAAACAAAAGCAAATCCCCAAAGAACTTCGTACGTAAGGTGTGTGGTGATTGTGTCGGGAATGAAATTAGGTTCTGTAATTTTGGGATTAATATTATATTTCCATTAATTTTTTACCTTAATTAGGAGAAGATTTTCCTATTTATTAATTAATACTAATTAATAGTGAATTTTAAATTTTAGACAATTTTAAATATTAAATTTTTGTATGGAACTTTTACTATAATTAAAACGTGACAACGATGTGGGAAAAAGAATTCATTTGTCATTGTTGAGATATATAGTCCCACATTGATTGTGTGGTCAACTAATGTGGCCTTTATAAGGCCTTGGGCACTCCCACCCTTTAAGCTAGCTTTTGGGGTGGTGTATCCCAAGGTTCTTTACATGGTATCAGAGGGTCACAAGTTCGAGTCTCACGGCCCCCCACTTTCAAATAGAATTAAAATAAAAAGCACAAAAAAATAAACTAAAAATTGGACCTCTGCAGTTCCACGCTTCTAGCCCAAAGGACTCTTGCGTGAGGGGGCGTGTTGAGATATATAGTCCCACATTGATTGTGTGGGTAACTAATGTGGCATTTATAAGGCCTTGGGCACTCCCACTCTTTGAGCTAGCTTTTGGGATGATGTATCCCAAGGTTCTTTACAGTCATTAAACTAATGGTACGAGCTCAAGATAATATCTGTACCATTTCTTTTTTTTTTTTGAAATATTCCATCGGTTCATCACTTCGCGATTAGTCCGTTTCGGGCGGGTCCAAGATTAATGCTTTAAACCCCTCCGAAAGGTGGTACTGGGGAGGTTCGAACAGATGCCCTCACCCCCACCTGCTCATCTCCCATGCGCCAACTGAGCTACCACCATTTGGTATATCTGTATCATTTCAAATTTTATGATTGCGGATCCAATTAAAGTTTTTTTTTGGTGAGGAAATTTAAATATTATTACTTAAATAAGAAAATACCAAAACATAATATTTTAGAATTAATTTACGGATCTATAATAATAAGTCGCATTTCAATTAGGCGCATTTAGTGCTAGGTCGCGTCCCATTTGGGCACGACTCACCAAGTGACGACATGTGATACAAAATAGTCAATAGTTTGACCATAAAACTTCGGAAGGTCATAATTTTTGATTTGGATATCCGAATTAGATTTTTTTTATTCCACATAACTTTTTAAAATCTATACAATGACATATCGTTGAAGAGGATTTGTCAAAAAAAAGTTCAATTTTCTTTTTTGAATTTTTCGAGTTAGCGCCACCACAAGAGCATTTTATCTTACAAATTTTTTAAAAAACAGAACAACATACGCTTATTTGACTTTTTGACTCTTTTTAAAACAAAAATTATCAGGTCTTATTTGACTTGACTGAATGATGTAATCGATTATATAAATTCAAATTTACCATAAAATTTTGGAAGACCATAACTTTTGGCTTAGGAGTCCGAATCAAGTGATTTTTTTTAATTGACGTAACGTTTTGATATCTACGTAGTGACAAATTTTTAGAGGATTATTTGTTAGTGTTGGAAAGAAAAATTCAAATGATATCGTTCATAAAGATAAAATATGTCAAACAGGGCACAAAGAAACACTGTTTGGCAAATTTATTTTATCAAAGCTGCTTATGTGAAATAAAAAAAAGCACCCGATTCGGACACTCGAGTCAAAAGTTATAACTTTCTGAAATTTTACAATAAAATATCCCAAATGTTGTATCACATTACAACTCCGATCTCGTTTCATATTGCCTACAACATTCTGACTGGTTTGATCACCAAACTCACTGAAACAACGTGCCATTTGACAAACCAATTTTGCTACAACTCGAAAAAAAAAATTGGATTTTTTTTTACTAAATCTCGTTCAATGAGATATCATTGAGTAGATCTCAAAAAATTATATGGAATAAAAAAACCAGACTCAGACACCTAAGTTAAAAATTATGACCTTCCGAAGTTTTATAGTCAAACTATTAACTATTTTGTGTCACTCGTCGTCACTTGGTGAGTCACGCTCAAATGAGGTGTGACCCAGCACCATATGCACCTAATTAGGATGCGACCAGTCATGCTAATTTCAGACGCGACTGATTGTTCTAGATCCGTAAATTGATTATAAAATACTATGTTTTTGTAATTTTAATTAAAAATATTATATGAACTTCTTAATTACGACCCCTTATTTTAGTTTTTTTTTGCCTTTTGGTGAAATGGGTTAATGGGCCTAATACAACATAATTGGACTTTAGCCCAAAACAACAGCTAAATTAACCATGAATATCTACAAATATATATCGCAGGAAAAAAAAATATAAAACAAATTTAACTGAAATGCAATTAAAGCATAATAAATAACCCCCGAAAGCTTCTATATGCATTTTTAAATTAAAGGATCGTTTGTGGAAAGTTATGTCCTCTGACACTCGAGGATGATAGATTTGCCAATTGATTCAATAATTTCAATATTTTTTTTAGTATAAGCATCCGCAACTTCCTCGTGAGCTCGCTTGTCTGAATTTTTATGATTCTATTGGGGCTTCTTTGCTCCATTTTGTGAGTTTGAACAGAGTTTTTTCTTTCTTTCTTTTTGGGCTTTGGCCCCGATTTTTGAAATATAAAATTTGTATAATATGTGTTGTTTTTAATTTTGTCTTACATAAAAAAAGTTGAATATATTTTACCAAAAGAAAAAAGAATTCAAGCTATATTCAAAGGGAGAGGTTATACTTACAACTTATTTTCGTTTACAATCTCTTACAATCATATCTTAACCGTTAATTTTCGTCAATCAACAGTATCATTTATTGCGAATTAATAATTAATTAATAAATTTTATTTGCAAAAATCTTAACCGTTGATTGGCAGAAATCAACGATTAAGATATGAATTATAAGAAGTTATAAATGAAAATAGATTGTAAATATAACCTTTTTCATATTCAAATATGAATCCTAGTATTGTAATTAAAGCTACGCTGGACATCAGAATAACTAAACATGTTTTTTACAAACATTAAAATTTACGGAAAACACTTTCTCCTCTATCAGGAGAGTTATTTTCTCATATAGAGTTCATTTTGTGTGTAATATTTTTTATTTTTTATTTACGGTGGAATCTATTAAAATTATGTATGTGTGGAAAATTTTCTAATCTCATGTTAAATGATAAATGCAAAACTCTAAAATTTATTAGAGAAGTATTGACAAATGACAAACTGAAAATAAGAAAAGAAAGGCATTGATGAAAACGCCACAGCTAACTTTTATCTACATTTTCTTTTAAGTTAGTATTTTGAAATGGTCATTTTTATTTTTCAATAATAAATAGTGAGGCCGTGCAAACAAATTAAACATGTCAGACAACTCATTTAGCCTTATAAATTATGCGAGTTAAATTTCCATTTTAATGACTCAAAGTGAATATTTTTGACATCGTTTGTATAATTTATTTAATGACTTGTTTGATTACTTGAAAAGAAAATTATATTTTCTTATTAAATATTAAAACAAGTAAAAGTAACTTCTCTTCCATTTTCATTCATTCTAATTCTATGATGACACGATTTCAATTTACCGCATGCAAACAAGTTTACACTTTGTTGCTTGTGAAGATACTGATACAGTAACACTGTGACACGTTATTTTTCTGACTCAAAACTTTGGCGCTCGGATTGAAGGAGGAGGATACTCCCTAGTGAAAACTTTACGAGAACTGAACGTTAAAACCCTAATTAGAGTGATTGTTAATACTGAGTAAACCCTATATTTTTCTATGGATGCGAAGGACATCCTGGGATTACCCAAAAATTCCTTCCCACCTCTGGAGAAGAAGTCTCGACCTCAGAAAGAATCTCAGAGAAAACCAGATGGCATTTCGCGGGAGGTACCCTTTCCCTTTCTGTTTATTTTTCTGCACCTTAGGGTTTAGCCAATTTAACGTTTTTTTTGGGGCTGGTTTGCTGAAAATTTGTAGGTGTATGCGCTTACGGGTGGATTGGCACCTCTTATGCCTGCTGTTGATTCGTCTCAATTGAAAAAAAGGCCTCCATCAGATGAAAAGGTTTTCTCTTTTCTTTTTTTCAATAATTCATTTTTCTTTAATTGAATTTTGTTTGACATGCTCTCCTTTTTCACCCCCTAATTGCTTGTTGGAGCTTTGGTTAGTGATACAGCATGGTCATGTTAGTGAGTTTGACCAAAATTGGGGTTTCAAGCTGTACAATTTTCTTATCTTATACTGTTAGTGATACAGGATGCTCAGTTTGGCTTATTTCTCATGCATTGTAAAATAGATTAATTAATGAAGCATGTGAACCTAGTCATAGTTTTACGAGGTTACTTTGTCTTTGCACTTTTTTTTTTTCCACCTAGGATATAAGAAGAAACATTATTAGGCATACGAAAGCAAGATTCCCAAAAATGAAAAAAAGAAGAAGCCTGTAATAAGATGTCCTCTTATATTTGGTTACGCATTTTAACTTTTTGGCTTTACAAACGAAGAATGAGCTATACTATGGTAACATTTCTTTGCAAAATACTCAATCACGCAGGTGGAAAAATTTCATTTTAGTTTAGCTTGATTGTTACTTGTGACATGTAGGTTGAGGAATGTATAGGCTGTTCATGTGTGTTTCTGAACCACCTATAAGCTAATGCTTAAAAATCTCTTGAAGGAGAGAAATACCAAATGCTGCATGCTGTCTAACATTTTATCTTAATGCATTTTCGACTGACATTGTGATGTTATTATTATACATTTGAGCTTTTCCTGTTTCAGATCACTTGGCAATGGCTTCCTTTCACAAATTCTGCTCGTAAAGATGATCTTCAGCTTTTCCATTGGGTAATTTCTTCTGTTAGTCTCTGCAAAACATTATGTTATCTATGAGCATGGAAATATTGGTATGTGTCTCTTCCACAGTAGTCAAAATCGCAATTTGATGCGAGTCCTCAGTCCACTGGTACAGATCTCAAAGGGACAAAAGGGAACTTGTTAGATATATATAAACTAGTAATGTGCCTCTCACCTAATAGTTTAAGCTTTTGGGTTGAAATGATTCTTTACATGGTATCAGAGCCTCTGTGACTAAGTCGTCAAGAATTCAATCCTCAACGCCCTCATTTGATTAATAAAAAATTAATCATTGTGAAGTTTCTTAACATAGGTAGATGAGTCTATGCATTGTCCACCTTTCAAAACCAATGGGCTCTTGTGTGAGGGGGCGCATTAGAGATATATAATATAAAACCATTAATTGACCTTCACCTAAAAACTTAAACTTTTGGGTTGAATTAGTTCTTTACATGGTATCAAAAGCCTCCGTGACTAAGTAGTAATGAGTTCGATCCTCACCGCCCCCTATTCTATTAATAAATAATTAAATATTGTAGAGTTTCTTAGTATAAATAGGCGGGCCTGTGCATTGTTCACCCTTAAAACCAATGGACTTTTGTATGAGGGGGCGTGTTAGAGAAGTATAATATAAAACCATTAATGTTATCTTCACCTAATAGCTTAAACTTTTAGGTTGAATTGGTTCTTTACATTTTCACCTAACAGCTTAAGTTTTTTGGGTTGAAATAATTCTTTACATAGGTAAATAGTTTCTGTGGAGTGGCAAATTGAGATGGTGATGGGTGGGTGTGGCCAGAACTCGTTGGCAGAGAGGTCTGCAAATACGATTTATGAAAAAAATGCTCAGATGTGTAGTCATGCGCTGCCCAGATTGATGGACATGGCAGATAAGAGATCACGGTATGGAGGGCCGTCAATGCTCCCGTCTGGCACCATCCGTGAGGGTGACATGGTTGATTGGAGGTGATAAGCACCTAAGATTTGTAGATCTGATATGGACAACTGCTGAGGAACAAGAAACCAAAAGGATGGCTGAAAAAAATAGGGTTTTGTTTTGTAGGTTCTAGTAATTAACGTCGAGAGAGAAAGTTTTGAGAAAACCCCCTAACAATTAATGTACCTTAAAAGGAAATGAAGAAATTATTTTATTGTAAAGAACCAATTCAACCCAAAAGCTTAAGCTGTTGGGTGAGACTACATTAATGGTTTTATATAATTCTAACATGCCCCCCACACGAGAGCCCATTGGACTTGAAGGGCGGATAATGCACAGGCCCACCTACCTATGTTAAGAAATTCCACAAGATTTAATTAATTATTTATTAAGTTGTTGGGTTGAAATGGTTCTTCATATCTATTTCTACACATAGTTTTACTTTTTTAGTTAAAAATCATTTATATTTTTTTTTAAATTTTTTCATGAATGTTACTATTCACAATACATTTTGATTCATGATTCGGAAATAAGCATTCCTAATCACAATTTGATAATCATGATCCCTTCTTTTGCAGGTCCGAGTTATAAATGGTGTTCCTCCAGCAGGGGACTATTCTTTTGCTAAGTATAACAAGGTAAATGCTGGTTCAGTCTTTACCTTCGTGCATGCTCTTCATTCTTCTCATTTTTAGAACTTTACTCTAGTCAATATCTTCTATTTACATGATTAATGTTAGTTTACATGCTGTGATGCAGTCTGTTGACATAACAAGATACACAGATGAGGAGTATGAGAAGTATTTGACAGATTCTGTAGGTATCATGTCTAGATTGCATTTGTCCAAATGCATGGAACTTCTTATTTGAGTTTGCTTAAATGACAACTGTTGTAATTTTTATTGCTATAAAGAACTGAATTTCACGTGCTGCATCCGGTTGAAGTTGCAGTGTCTTCGATGATTTATATTGCAAGAATTTATATTGAAAGGTCTTTTTTTGTATATAATTTCAAAATTGTTTAAGGGACAACATCATTTTACACCACTTTAAGAATAAAAAGTCTTACATTCAATTTTAGTCGTTGATCTATGTGCATCTGACGGCTGTAATTTATTAGGAATCAATAATTAATTAATTAGTGTAAAAAAGGGGAAATCCCAGTGCCCAAGGTTCTCTGACTTGCAAAGTTAGGGACGAGGGTTGATTGTACGCAACTTTACCCTTGCATATTTCAAAGAGACTGTTTTCCATACTCAAACCCGTTACCTTTTGATCACAAGGAGCAACCTTACCGCTACTCCAAGGCTTGTCTTCAATAAACTAATGAGTGTAATTCAATAAATTATAGTCGTTAAATGCACATAGATCAACAACTAGGATTAGGTGTAAGACTTACACTGCTGTAAGTTGATCCTTCCCCATTGTTTAATTGCTAGTTGGTAAATCATTTATATTTCACTGATGATCAAGTTAGCTGTAAATAAAGGGGAAAATTTGTGATCAATTTGGAGAACTCTGTATATCTGAACCTAGCATCGCCTTGTGTCTTTTTCTTTTGTACACTCAATTGTGCTTCCCATTTATAAATTTACTCACCCTTAATCTGTGCTCTTTTGAGAGTTGAAAGTTGAAACATATTGACATTCTTCAAGTATTTTTACATGTATCTCTGTTATGAAGTGTTAAATGTGCTCACCCTTAATCTGTTACTCAATTCAATTGTGCTTCCCATTTATAAACTTACTCACCCTTAATCTGTGCTCTTTTGAGAGTTGAAAGTTGAAACATATTGACACTCTACAAGTATTTTTACTTCTATCTCGGTTATGAAGTGTTAAACGTGTTGCTCTCTTCTATTTTATTATATTTATGTAGAAATGGACCAAGGAGGAGACAGATCAACTGTTTGACTTGTGTGAGAGATTTGATCTCCGATTTATTGCAATAGCTGATAGGTTCCCATCATCTCGAACTATAGAAGAATTAAAGGATCGATATTATAGCGGTATGTATTTCACTAAATTATTATCTGCTGCATTCTATAATTCATTTTCTTTCATACGTACTGTGTTTGACTGTTTAGAGACTATAAGATAAATGACATATTTATACTTTAGTTTTTGTTGATTATATTGTCCTTTCTATGTAGTATCCCGGGCTATATTAATTGCTAGGAATCCATCTTCTGGGGATGTTGCAGTGCATTCGCATGTTAAGGTGTGGTAAACTTTTTGAACAAAAATAACTTAAGCTGTGTTGTTCTCAAGTCACTCTCTTTTGTTCTTTCAAGTATATTGTTTTTAGTAAAGTATCTGCATTAGGACATTACCATGTGGTCTTAAATTAATTACTTGTTCTTCCTCCTTGATGTAGGAACCATATAATGTTTCACAAGAGATGGAGCGGAAACAAGCTCTGTCCCTGTTCCTCTCTCAAACAAGGCAACAAGAGCGAAGAGATGAAGAGGTTTTGACTTTTGCCCCCCTTTTATTTAGTGATATTTTTACTTCTGCTGTCATTATACATCCATAGAAAATGAAGTAAATATAGGTATTTACTGCTGTATTTTTTGCAGGTGCTTGCTGAAGCAAAAAGAATAATCGAGTCACGCATACCTACCAAGGTAATTATTAAAAGATTGCATTTCTATGATACCCATAGTTACAGATGAAGAGGAGGGCTTGTTATAAAGATAAAGATTATGTTTCAATTTATCTAATTCTAATTTCTTGATTAATTGTGGTCCTAAATTCCTACTTATGAACTTAAAATATTCAGGAATTCTTCTTTTTACTATGTTTTTATGTATTCTACCAAAATATTTTGGTAAAATTATTTTTAATTTTTGCTGGGAGCCAAGTTAGAGAGATGTTTACTCAGGTAACTTTATACCTGTAATTTTACTGATAGTAAATTATATGATGGAACCATTGGATCAATTGGGGCTACAAAATTCATGGAATGTATAAAATGTTTTCACATAAGCTGTGCATGCATCTGTGCCTAAGATTAGTGATATCAGGTGTTTGATTTTCTGTGTGTATTAGGTAGCTGAGGAGTCTGAGTTGGCTGTTGCTTCGAATGCTGGTGCAGATGTTACAGAGCGGGCTATTCCTGGTGAAACTGTATCTCCATCAAATATGCAACTTCCACCAATAGTTGTGCCTTCCACAATAGCAACAGATAATGCATCTACACTAGCTTCTCTTCGCATTGTAAGTTAAACATAAGGTTACCAGTTATGCATCCTTTGTCTCTTTGCTGTTGACACTTCTGTTGTCAACATCTCTCCCCTGCCCCCATCCCTTCTCCCCCAAACAAAATAAAGGGGAAAAAGAAAAAGAAAAAGAAAAGGAGAAAAGGCAAGAAAGGTATAATAACAAGGATTCTCATGATCAAGTTTATGAATATTTGACCTTAAATTGATCCAAATATTTGAAGTAACTTTTTATTTCCTGGCAAATGCAAATTTTCAACAATTTGTTGATGTCTATACTTCAGAACATGATCTGATAGTGTGAAATATTTCAGCTTCGTGTGTATCTGAGAACCTATGCACTTGAGCAAATGGTGCAATCTGCAAGCTCATCTGCCGGACTTCGGACTATCAAACGGGTTGAGCAAACTTTGCAGGAACTCGGGGTTTGTCTATTCTCCCTGAGCTTTAATGCAGTTCAGATATTTCCTTTTTTCACCCTGGTGTAGTCATGTCGTAGTCAGTGATCCATATTTGTGACTATATATGATTTTTCACTTCAGGAGGGCTGAAGATTTTTCAATGTTCTTTTAACTATTAAATTGGTGTTTGGTTTTGAGAGTAAGGTTGTAATTGAGCTAAACTTTTACAAAGCTTTTCAGGTCTAGCTCGCTTTGAGCTTGACTTGGCTTGTGTCAGTTAAACAGGCGTCCCTAGTAGTTTGGTTAAGAATTAAGTTGTTAGAGTTCACTCAACAATTTAAACTTTTGGGATAGTTGATTTATGACATGGAATTAGAGTCTCTATGTGCTTTCACCCAACATGTATTTTGTATATAGTATGTAATAAAAGAAGTAAATATATATTTATATTAACATGGCTCAACTAAATTTTATGTAAGCTTTACTTGGCTTGTTTAGGCTTCTGGAAGCTTAAATTTATAAATACAAAATATTTTAAATGTTAAAGTTGACCTGTAAGAGGGCGAGTCTGGAGCAGTGTTAAAACTGCTCCTTCGTGACTGAAAGATCAAGGGTTCAAATATGAAAAATAGCCTCTTTGCAATTGTGCAAGGGTAAGACTACATTCAAGGATTGCCCTCATCTCTAACTCGCTAGTCATGGTTTAATGAGAGTGCTTTTTTTATTATATATATATTTTTGGTCAAACTTGTCCTGTTTTGTTCACTAAGCAAGTTGAGCTTGGGCTGCTTTTTGAATTAATAGTGAAGCCTAGTCACACTAGAGAAAATACTCACTCTTCCTGATTATGCCTTTAATTTGTTTTGAATGTGATTGCAGGTCAATTTGAAACCAAGGGTTCCAACAAAAGCTGTTTGTGCAGAGCATCTTGAACTGAGAAAAGAAATACTAACTCTGTTGAATCTTCAGAAACAGGTATATAATATTGTATATGCAAGAAATAAATTTGCTGGATTTTGTATTGGGGAAAGTTTGATGATTTTACTAGCTAGAGTGTCCTTAGCATTGAAATATGCTTTTCTAATGTCATTTTTCGTATAGGATTTACCGAAGTCAACATTGGCTTGTTTACTTACTCTTCCTGTTTGTGTCTTTAATTTGCTTCAGCTGCAATATAAGGAGGCTGAAGGTTCGTCTTTTCGTGATGGATCATACGGTGAAACACCAGGAACACCAAAGGTTAGAAATCTGGTTTTTATTTTGGTACTTCCTACTCTATGTTTACAATGTTTAGGCTTGTAATTGTCCAAGCATGCTATTCTTTTTCTCAAACCATGAGTTTGTGATTCTGAAACTACTGACAGCGTTTGCATCGTGGTGGGGATCAGGATCGGACATTTGTTCCAGACAACACAAATTTTGGAGGTAATGGATAAATACCTGCTATCTAATTTTCTGTAAGTGACGGTAATTTCAACTACTTATCATTAAAGACGTGTATATAACTTGTTTCAGGGGAAAGGATTGGCAAAAGGGATCAAAAGCGCAAGGTACGATTAATTTTTTGTAATAATTATTTTTTCTATTTTTTTTCCCCACGTGCTTTTGTACCATTGCCGCAGTGCATTATTTTTTATCTTCAAAATTTTGTTTGTAAAGGTGCCTCCATCATCACCAGCTCAATCTAAAAGACCTAGAAAACTAAAGGCATCAGATCTTTAGTTCCCCGGGTAAGAGCTTATATTTACCGTAGATGATACAAAAGGAGTTGTTGATAATCCTTCTATAACTGCAAATCCATATCTTTTGTTTGGTTCTGTAATATCTTCCGTGCTTCAACATTCTTCTACCACTTATTTGTTGGTCCATCGTAGTTATTAAATGAATTTGCATGTTATCCATTAGGTGGCAAACGGAGAGGTTGTTTGCACTTGTAGTGTTCTTTTAATAGGAATTATAATTATTGTGGTAAGCTGTGAGCTCTGAACACCTCGAAATTCTGATTGTGGTTAGATTAGAAAAATTAATGCCTTTATCAGTGTTTAGTGCTAAACGGAGCAGTGGAGTTCGCATCTACACCATGTATGGCCCCACTGAGAAACTGTATTTTTTCTTTATTGTGCTGGTGAAGCTATGTAATGGCACCAGGTGTTTCTGACCAAACAAGCTCAGGATATGTATGTAATTAAGTATAGGAGTTGTGAATTTTCCTGATGTTCTGAAGCTTATATTTTCTGTCAAAACAGGTGGAGCCTGAAATTATTATATTGGTTTGTCTTGGAAAGCTGATGTAACAAATGCCGTTTGTAGGGGATTAATAAAATGGAGAGAGAAAATAGAACGAACGCTTACAGAAAAAAAAAAATCATTCATTTTTCCTTATACCATGATCAGCGGGAAATATATTATTTTTTATATTTAGGGTAACGATGAAAATGCTCTTGAACATCCAACAAATGAAGTTTGGAGTAACTAATTGATGAGCTTATTTGATCAGAGAGCATCTCTTTCCGTCGTTTCTGAACAATGCTTATGAGATATATCACCATGAACGGTGCATTCTTTGTGAAGACTATGTTCTAGCAAAGCTGTCAAAATTTAAAGTGAAAAAGAGATGAGCTGGCAGAGGGTAAAAGTGGATTGTTATTAATAACGGTGAATATCCATGGATGGTAAACGAGAAGCTGCATTGGTGTTACTGACTGAATGATTGCCTCATTATTCATTATGGATACCCTTCTATTGGTGTACATACTTCCATGTCGGGAACTTTCTTGCAAAACCTGTAACGGGGTTAATAATGAACCTACTGAAAAGCGCTCTGGCAATCGCTCCCAGCCCATCAACGTTGTCTTTACTTGTATCTCTTAGATCGATTTGGTTTGGATCCAATGTTATGTGGAGACAGGCCATTTTTTATTGGGCTTGTAGTTGTAAAATTGTAACAATTCAACATCAATAATTCATTATTTGGTTGACAAAGATACACCAAAAGAGCCAGAGCAAGTTGAATTAATTAGGAAGTTAGCCTTAGCCCAAGAGTTCGTGTATTGGAAGCCCTGAAAAGAACGTCAACAAAAGATTTCAATTCATTTTTCTTGTTGAGCAAATCAAGGGTATCACCACATTCTATATTCATATTGTAAACATTAAAAATAAAAAATAAAATAAAAGACACCAGCAAAGCACAGGTGTCCTCCCTGGGAAAACAGCAGGAATCCCTCTTCCATCGATGATAAGTATGATAACTCGAGTCCTCCGTTTGGTACTAATAGTAATAGGTATTGGAGTTAGAGTAGTGAACTAGTGATCATTCTCATTCATCAGTCATCACAACGTAGAGTATAAAGCGTCCAACCGAGTTTGTGGTCACAATTAAATAGGCATTTAATAAAAGGAAATTAAACTCCCAAAAAAGGTTGTAGTAGTAGTAGTATTATTTGAAGGGTACATCCCTTCTTTTCCCGTTCCAAAATCCAATAATTTTCCACTGAATGCCCACCTAAGAGGAATAATATGCAATACCTTCTTGCATCTGGTTCCTTTTCATGTCTTCTGGGTTATACTCTCCAACGTCGCAGTTTTCCTCTCCACAGTGTATGCAGACCGTGTCTGCTTAAGCCTCACTGTGCTCAGAGACAGCAGAGCCGAACAAGCCTTAGAACTTCATGGCCTTGGGTGTCACTTTCACTTTTTGGCACAGGCTTCTCATTTGGTCCCCTTCTCGATGGACTCCATTCAAGAGTCAATCTCGTGGTGTACAAGACAGGGTCCATTGACTTAGGTCCACTCCACACAAATATCTGGGTGAGTTTCAACTTTAAATTTTTCTGTACCCTTCTTTCTGCTGTTTGCATATTATCATTTTATTGGCTGAGCTTTTATCTTTCTTCTCCAAATTGATATGGATAGGTTCCTTTCTTGCTGGGGTTGTTTTACTGCTCGGTTGGTTTGCTTCAACTCTACCTAGATCAAAGGGTCTTAAACAAGGCTCAAGAGGGAAGTTTAGCTAAAACAATTGCCTCACTGATGTAAGTACCTACTTCTGCATTATAATATGAAATCAAAAAATGCAGGAAAAAGTTTCTTATTTCTCCTATTGTGCTTTTTGAAAGTATGCCACCCTGCCAATATAAATGTGGTTCTCCTGTCTTAGATTGCTGGTGCTGTTTATAGAATTGAGTGCTGAACTTTACAAAGCCGGAATTGCTGACAACATTGAGGCCTACATATTATTTGCTGCAGCAGAGTTCATATGGTTTTTCTTGGATAGGACATGGTCAGGGTTCAACCTGGCATGCATTGTGGGGCTTGGCTGTCCACTGGCTGAGATACCCATAATGAAGTAAAGACTTTCTTTTTCTCATCCCCAGTACATGATATGAACAAGTGTGTAATATGTTTGGTTATAACTTATTGATGGATACCTTTCTTTTGCTTCTTTCAGGTTCTTCCACCTTTGGTACTATCCTCAAGCGAATATTGAAATCCTTGGCCAGGTAGTGTTCATATTACAACCTGTTTCCGCTAAAGGCCTTTCATTAATTTGTGAAATTGTTGATGATTTCTCATACTACCTCCCAACACTGTCTTTTATCATCCAGAGTCCTAACACAAAAATTATAATGAATTCTACATTCAGGGACTAGTTACTTGGACACTCACTTGCTACTTTGTGTATACGCCATTCTTAATCAATTTGTCACGGTGGTTGAGAACAGTTTATGCTGCTCAAACAGAGGAGTCTTCCTGAGACAATATGTTAAACCGTGCTGTTTATTCTATTATAATGAACAGCAACCAAATCACAGCCTTCAACAAACACATTGTAAAAAGGCATCCTGGTCTAAGCTAGGATATTATATTATATAATGTTGATTCATATCCAACTGTGTTCATAAGGACTAGGCGATTTTAATCAATTATTAAATGTTTCAGCTTCACACCTTAGATGAGATCAACAGAGATATTCTCCCAGTATTTCCAAGTTAAGAATTAAGGATAAGTTTCTCATACAATTTTTCATATCAAGTTCATCCTACATTTTTCACCAAGACAACAAATCAACCTCAAATATATTCTTTTGGTTTTACAACCTTTAATTTTTATACGCAAACCAAAACCCAATCCACAAATAATGTGTTCTTAGTTCGTAGACAAACTAGCTTCTAGCTACATAGCAATAATTTATCAAACATCCAAGCCTAACACACACTGGCGTTTGTTCATTGCTTACTTTGCATTGAACATGAAAATGAGAAGGGAAATGGAGAGGAGGGGATAAAGAAGCCATTGGGCTACCCTGTCGTTGGAACATTGTTTGTTTTTGTCCATTAATCAAATTGGGCTGGGCTAAGTTTTTGAAATCTCATTCTTTAATGGGGCGAGCCTAGAACGTTTTCGTTGATGTTGCATTCGGCTATCACCTCCTAATCGAATATATCTTTGGTACTACTGCTGTACCAAAGATTCAGTAGTAGTATCAAAGATTTATTCCTCCTAATCCTTGGTTTTTTTTCCTGTGTCAGGGGCCATTGTCCTATAGACCCCACTTACAACCAAATAATAAGGGAAGAAAAAGACAAACGAACTGTTCAGTGATTAGACGAGTATTAATTAGATGCGTAGTTGGGCATAATCCTATAGGTGAGTATTAGTCACAAGGTGTTATTCCAATTTCTTATGCAATGGCGGTGTGATACTTACCATTGATTAGTGCGCATGTGAGAAAATTTCCACTCCTTCTGGGAAATACAGAAATAGTGAATATTATTGTTGGATCATGTGCTTAAAAAAATGCTGGACAAATCAATTCATTAATTATTGTACTTTATTTTGTCATATAGATTATTTTAAAATATGATTGAGTTGTATTCTAGAATGACATATTAAGTCCGGTACACAAAAATAGTTGCATATTTTTTTTCTTCTTTATAACCACAAATATACAATCATCAGGGAGATTTAGGGCCTGTTTGATAAGTGTCCTGTAAAATAGTTTTTTGTTTTTAAAAACAAAAAAACAAAAAAACTTGCTTGATACCAACTGTTTTGTAAAAAAAAATTTGAAAACAGTTTTTCAATTTTAGTTTTTAAAACAGAAATTAGAGAACACCTTCGAGGTGTTTTGATTTTAGTTTTTTAGTTTTTGTTCTGAAAACACCAAAAACACGGAGAAGAGGTGTTTTCATTAATGGCAAAAGTGTAGTTAATCGAACACTATCCTTACCCATGGTGTCTGGCTCTGCAAGTGTGAGCACATCTTTCGTTTTCTTCCTCCTCATTCAATTGTGTTAGGGTTTTCAATGGTGTGAGCACATTTTGCTTCTTTCTAATTTCCCATTTGTGCGATCATCTAAAATACAAATGAAAAGCCTTTCATTCCCTTGCATGCAACACTCGTTAACTTCATTGAGCACCCCAATCATACCAACATGTCCCACCTCTTCCTTATCCATCAATTGTTCTTTACGCTGCAGGTTCACACTCTTCATTTTATTTTATTTCTATGTGTGTGTGGAATTTGAATTGTGTGTTGTATTTACTTGTACTTGAATCTTAGATTGGAAAATGCTTTATCTTTTCTGGGTTCACACTCTTCGTTTTACTTGGGACACGCTGTAGTTTTTTTTTAGCTGTTGTTGTGTGGAACTGAAGAATTTTTTGGGGTGATTTCACTGGTTTCTTTTGGTGAAAGCATCTTTTTCAGGTGGAGTGCTTTGTCCCATTCTCTCTACATAACTGTGGTGTTTGTTGAATATAAAATTGGGGCTGTGGGCACCCAAACGGAAGAAGAGAGTTTTTTTAATATGCCCATTGCTCTCTTCTGTGCAATCATTGCTCTTTGACTGTTGACATCTTTTGTGTATTGGTGAATTGGTATTTAATTAGAGTATTTGTTTGCCCTTGTTTTGTTGAACTTGTTGATAAACATCATGGCAACCATGTTGGTGGCAAGCATTTTTTTTGGAAACTCTTTGTTGAATTGGTTATTTGTATGCTGTGAAAGAATGAGCAATATAGGATTCTAGTAGGTTATGCAGGGTAAGTGATTAGGTTACTCAAAGGAAGAAGCATAACGTAAAATTTCCACTGTTTATTTGTTTTAAACTAAATAAGTTAATATAATTAATCTAAGGGTTTTACTTTCATAAGTTTATCTGAAAAAACAGAATGCAAGCTTGAGGTCTGTATTGCTGTGTTCCATTCTAATTGGACAAGAAACACTGCAGTCCTAATGTCTAAGGCAAAGTGCTTCTATGAAAATTTTGAATCTAACTCTTTTTATAATTAAATGTCTTATGGAAGTACTAAAAATTCGTTGATGAAGTTGCTATGATCTTTTTATAATCTAACTCTTTCCTGCATTTTTTATTTCTTGCATTCAAATTGAGGTGAAAGAAATTTGAAAGGTGTTTTATTGTGATCTCTGCAACAAGCAATACAAATTGGCAATGGAATTTGAAGCACACTAAAGCTCTTATATCACAATCACAGAAAGGTATACAATTTAATTTATATTAACTTGGTTCTGCATTTGCCGTCTTAATTCCAAATTGGCTCAATATTATTTTTCTCCTCAATCCTAATGTTAAATCCTTGATGTTTAATACAGTGTTTCAAAGAAATGAAGGAAATGCATGGTAGTAGTAGCACGGTTGGTGTCAAGAAGCAGAATGTTGCAAAGAAGCAAAATGTTTCAGTGTTGTGTCCTCTATATTTAGTAACGATAGTGATGAAGAATAATGGAACGTTACTCTTGCAGCTCTGAATCAGCACGATGCCATATCTTCGGCGTGTTTTTTGTTTATTAGATGTTTTATTTGGTAATTTATTACCATCATCAGTTTATACGGGGGGAAGAACATTTGGGATTCAATGTTCATTTGGAGATTTGAGTATAAAAAATGTTAGAAAAAAATATGACCTGCGTATCGATGTGACTGTTATGCATATGCAAGGATTATGTTTACGTGAGTGACATGATGATGCTTGCTTCCATTACTATGATGCTCATATAACTGAATTAGTGGTCAGTTTAATGGACTGAAA